GACCATTAATTGTATAATCGTGACCTTATCATATTTAATTAATAAATGTTTTTAATTAAATAGATAATACTTGATTTTTGCATCAATAAAACTTAAAACCTGATTTTTGAATTGTGTGCAGATAATACACGATTTGTGAAATTTTCCCATTCTTATTTTACTAGGCCCAAAAAATTGTTTCAATACCCAACAGTCCATTACCCAATTATACAACAAATATATCTTTTTCATACTTCATTCCACCATTACGCGTCAGGCTAGTTGAAAATTTTGAAAACAAAAATTCTGAATTTTTTTCCCTAATTACCATCTCATTGGAGAGCCATTGACCACCAACGCCTATGGCCTACCATTGACCAAAAACAAGGATGAAGAACAACTGAAGTTTGAAGAGTTTCGACTGGCAACTCCTTCGATTAGAACTTCATTTTCAGAATTTGAAACCCTGATAAAACTCTTCTGTTGTCGAGAATTAAGTTGACTCTAGCTAAATTTTAATATATATTTTGAAACCCTTGTAATCTTCATTTTATGATTTTATGATTTTTTTTTTGAATTATACATTCAAGACGCAAGTATTATTTTGATGCTTTCTTTAATTTCTCGAAATAAGTTTATTGGAACATGTAATTTATCAATTATCTAATAAAAAAATTTTAATTGTAAGAAAATTGAGAATGTAATGAAATACGTCCAAGTGCATTATAAATTTGTGGTACTATAGAAACAAATTATTTTAATGTGTGAAAAAATAACAAAACTTTTTCCATCATGTTTTCCATTTCATTTCTTATAAGAATTAGGATATGCTTGATTAAGATTATTAACGAGATTTAATCACCAAGATTGATCAAATCAGCCATAAGTTTGGAATAGATTATTTTGTCATTCTAGTGAATGCAATAATTGATTTTAGAAAAGCAGCTACTTTTACTCATAAGTGATTTGTTCACGAAATAATGATTTCGAATTATATTAACAAGTGTACGGTTCTTTAACAAGTAATAAAGTGGAAAAATAGAGTTCCGAATATTATCCCACAAAGATTGAATTAATTCAATTTTAAGTACTGAGACCATAACAGAAACAATAAAAATGAGAGTGTTTGTTGTGATGAAATTTTAGCTAAAATAAACTATGTATGTAATTATGAATGAATTGAATTAAATTAATTGCAAAATGATATTTGAATACAAATCTGACGAAATTAATGAATGAGAGACACACTAGGATTACGAATCCCCGAGCAATGCTCAATTTTAACCCTAATTTCACAATATCAAAACATGTTGAAATTTTGAAGAATCAATGCTCCTAAATCTATCCAACAATCTCTTTTGAGTAATGTTGAACCTACTCCCATATACCATCAGCCTATATCTCTATGATGTGTGCAAATATACAAGAATGCATGTAGTGTTGTGAGCACTTAAAGATTCACGCAAAGCGTAGAGGTATATCTTTATCCCTTATTGGACCCTACAATGATTTACACTCTGTCGAACTTATTCCCCTTCTTTCAAATGCATGAAATAAGTCGCCACCCTCACACAATTACGTGCACATAATCATGGAAGAAAATAATTGCATATAAACCATTCAAATTCAAATAACGTTTTACATTGTCAATAATGTAAAACTAGAAATAAAAAGATTACATCATTCTTTTAGTACAAACAAATTTAGCCTAACATGATGAGAAGAAGAAAACAAACTGAATATTAAAGAAAAGACATCATCAATTTAAATTTTGAATTGAATCCTTGCGTCTTGATATTAATCTTTACGTTCTTGTCTTGTTTTCTCCTATAAAAACCCTTATGAATGTGTTATAATGTGAATCTTTAGAGACGACCCTAGGATTTTAAAATACCTCACAAGTTTTGTTTCTATAAGAATTTCAGTTAGAATAGGGAATCAGAAATTTTTGTCTACGATTCGCCTGGGTAGTCGCCCAGGCTAAAGTTTTTGCCTCGATAATGTTTCTTGATGTTGGGCAGTCACCCGCTCAAAACAACTAGGCTGTCTTCCAAGTATAAAAATTCTTGAATGTTGTATTTTGATCCCCAAATTCAATTCTTGATTCTTTTAGATCCTTTATCTTTTTTTCTTCTCCTAACACTTCAAGTCCTCACTAAATTTGTTCTTAACTATTTCACATCATTGTTTATGCTTCCCCGTCATTTTTTAGCTATTTGCATTTTGGTCCCTAAACTTTCTTTTCTTTCATTTTTGCCCTTTTTGCATCTTTTCTCTTAAGTTCCATCATATCTAGTAATGTGGCTTTAGAAAATAAAATTGCACAAATTTAAGCCATATTCAAATACTTTTACCAATAATTTGTCATGTTTTGTGGGTAAAATAAGTGTGTAAAAATGCACTTATCAAACCCTCCAAACTTGATCTATTGTTTGTCCTTAAACAAAATTGTGACTTAACTCCACCACAAAACATGGCTTGACAACCTACAGTGTCTTATGATTAGAATTTAGTAATCAACATAAGAAATAATTTAAATAGTGAAAAAATAAAATCAACCTTTACCTGTAAATGCATAACTCGACGTATGTGTCTGAACTCATGTCAACATGTCAAGCTCGTGATTGGTTTACTCTCGGCCCATAGTGGTCAAATATACCATTTCTTCGCTCGAGAGATACACACACCCCAAGCTTATTCTTTTCACTCAATCACCTCGGATGTGTTCTAAAGTCAGGAGTTTAATTAACTGCATTCTTTTCCCTTTCTTAGCATGGATAAGTTTCACTCTTACAAGTTTACATGTCAATAAGTAGAGACTCTCCTATTTTGATTGCTTCAACCTTTAAGACTAAACTAAACTACTTGCCTCACATCAAAGATATAGTTTCATCAACCAAATGTCCAAAGGCTTTCTTCATGTCATTGTGTCTTTTATTCACTTATTTTCTGCTCATTTTTTTGTTTTTTTTTATATTGTCATCTTTTCATTTACTTTCTATATAACTCCTATAGTGAGCTTTAGGCCATGACTCCCAAACCAGTTGGCTTTAGGGCACTAGATTTTAAACTCTTACAGGTTTATTCACTCGAGTTATAGAAGCTCGATAAGATGACTTTTTATTAACTTCTATCCTTCTTGCTTTCTATATGACCTCTGTAGTGAGTTTTGAGCTGATAACTCTCAAACCAGTTGACTATAGGGCACTAGGTTTTTAGATGCCCTTGCAAGCTTAATAACTCGAGTCGTAAAGGCTATAAAAAGAAGTAAAAGGTGTATGACAATTTTTTTAACATGACCAGTACCCATTTTAGAATCCTTAACTCAAACTCATTCAACTACCGCTAAGATCTGAGAGTTCCAAGCCATCAATCTTCTATGAAAACAAGCACTAACATTCACACCCCCAAATTGATTTCAATTTGATTTCTATATAAAGAATTTGGGAAATTTTATTCAAACCTAGGTCAACAACTTCAACAATTAAATCCTCATGATCAAATTATAACCCAATGTAAGTGATAAGTCAATATAGCTATGTGCTCAATTAATTCAATATAACGTGGATATGTACTCAAATAAATGGACATGTAATGGTGTTGTCCATTAATCTAGCTAAAGCCATACTTAATTCAACTAATATCATCATAGGCGATAAGTCATTCAATGCTAAACTAAACATTTTTTTAGTTAAATAATTATACAAACCTTGTTAGCAATTGAAGGATTAGGTACAATGAGCATACGTATTCTAGAATTTATCCCACCCTCAAATAAAAGTATTACATAGTCTCCAATGTAAGAGCAAAAATAAATGAGTAAAAGATCAAATACTCCTCGGTGGTAGATGCGAATGATTAGAGGTGTCAGGTTGGTCTGGCTAGCTAGCTGATGTCATGACAATAATCATATTTTCTTGTTACTAGGATTTTGTCGAATAGGTAGAAGGATCAAGCTGGCTCGGCTGGAAGACGTCAACCATCACTTTTCTTCGTTGCTAGGCTTTAATTTTCTGTTCTCAGAGTATAAAATAAGTATTAGTGATAGCATATAAGGTTTAAGTATTTGCAATAAATTCACACCAAAAAATTCTAATCCCTAACTTCTAGAAAAACTATCTAACAGAGCGTACTCTCTACAAAAATCCTATAGTTGGGAGGAGATAAATTCTTCTAATTCATTTAGGGATTGAAATCTATGTACAACCTTAAGAATGCATATCACATCAATGTTAGCTCAACATAATGCTAGGATATTAACGATGAGCCTAAGTAAATTGAACTCAATAGATAAAAATGCCTAGGTTACTAATGTAAGTCTTAAAATACTACCTAAAATATGTCAAAAATCATCTACATGCATGAGTTTCTAAATATGGCCCTAAATACTAATGCAATCCCTAAAATTTTACTACTAATGCAGTACTTAATCAAAATAAGTGAAAGGGATAGAGGAATGGGTTGCATCCTATTAAGCGTTCGATTTATAGTCTAGAGCGTGTTTCATGTCACTTTGAATATGGCTTGGGAGGTCCTGAGTAGTTTGCTCAATATGATCTTATTTTGTATTGCAGCTATCCTCCAAATTTCATTCCTATCTTTCTCTAAGTGGTGTGACATTCCCTCATCGTCCATATAAAAGTCTACAGTGAATACCTCAATCTCTTTTTTATTAGTAAGAGTGGATGGAGGGTATACCACACAGGCCTCATGAACGTCTGGTGGTTTCTTCAACTCAATTCCTATGTCAATGACTTTAATCTGGAAACAGCTGTCATGCTCGGTAGGATATTTCAATCCTTTGAAAACATTGAAAGAGATTGCTCCTCCCCCAGCCTCAGAGTCAGTTATCCTTGTTGCACATCTATGAGGGCTCTTGTAGTAGCAAAAAACGATCGTCCCAATATAAGAGTCACGTCCTTGTCTTCTTCCATATCTACAATTAAGAAATCAACTGGAAATATTAGTTTATCCACTTTTACAAATACATTTTCGATGATTCCTCGTGGATGAGTAAGTGATCAATCAGCCAGCTGTAGAGTTATCGTAGTTGGCTTAGGCTCTCCTAATCCAAGTTTCCTGAAAATAGAGAGTGACATCAAATTAATACTAGCACCAAGGTCACACAAAGCTTTAATTAAGTAAAATTCACCAATGGTACAAGGAATAATAAAACTCCCTGAATCTTTCAATTTTTGTGGGAGCTTTTTCTGGATCCTAGCGCTGCACTCTTCAGTTAACATCACCGTCTCATGTTCCTCTAGCTTGCATTTATTCATTAAGATATCTTTCAGGAACTTTGTATAACTGGGCATTTAGAGTAGTGCATCAATGAATGAAATGTTTATGTAGAGCTTTTTGAAGATTTTGAGGAATTTCTTAAATTGCTGCTCTACCTTATACTTCTTCAATCTCTGAGGGAATGGAATTGGGGGCTCGAATGGATTGACAGAAGCAGTTGCTTTAGCCCGTGGTATATCTGAACATTTTTTTATAGTTGTTTCTCTGGTCTGGTCAATCTGTTTACCATGCTCTTCATCAGAAGGAGGCACTATTTCTTTGTCCGCATTTAATCTCTTCATATTGATTTCTAGTAATTGAACCCCACTTCTTGTAGTAATTGCTTGAACATGCTCTCTTGGATTTACTTTGGTATTGCTTGGCAAAGTATCTAGTGCCCTTGTTATCATAGAAAGTGCTATCTGTCCCATCTGCGTTTCTATGTTCTTAATTGCAGCACCTTGATTTTAAGAGTAGTTTCAATTTTTCTTATGAGCCAGTTATTTGTTTCTATGTATTTTTTAGTCTTTTCCATGAACTTTGCAAACATTTCTTCCAACTGAAGTATCTTCTCTGCTGAAATTGCCCCTGTGATCTATTCTAACTTTGGGCACCACCCCACGAGAGATTTGGATGTTCTTTCCAAATGAAATTTTAAGTGTCTGAATCCCGATAGTTCTATTGACATTGAATCCATTGCATGTACTCTACTTGTTCCATTTCCCGTGACAAAATTGGGCATTCCGTCGTACAATGATTCGCTCCACATTCTTCACAACTTGGTTTCTGTTCATATGCTACATTCGCTCACTATTATATGCTTTCCACCTTGTGAAACAGAGTGTCGATCTTCGTAGATATGGCCAAGTAAGTGTCTACCTCATAGATAGCCGGTGACTTCTTTTGAACCACCTGCTTAGAGGACCACATAGCTGAAGTAGTAGCCATTCTCTCAAATAATTCCAATGCTCCATCGATCGTTCTCGTGGATATAGAGCCATTGGATGATGAATCCACCATACTTTTGAAATATGGAAGTAACCCTGTATAGAAAAATCGGACTTGGGTCTTCTTATCGAAACCATGTTGAGGACACTTCATTAACATGTTTTTAAACCTATTCCAAGTCTCGTCAAATGATTCAGATTCTCTCGGACTGAATATCGATATGTCGTGCCTCAGTCTCGCTACTTTAGCTGGTGAGAAGAACTTTGTGCAAAATTTTTGAACCAGATCATTCCAAGTAGTAATGCTTGCAATAGGAAGTGAATCCAGCCATTAGAGTGCTTTATTCCATAGAGTATGTGGAAACAACTTCAGTCAAATAGCACATCTAAAATTCCTTGATACATGAAGTATTGACACATATCCAAGAATTGAGATACGTGTGTATGTGGATTTTCGTCAGCTCTGCCATAAAATTGATGTCCATTCTAAAATAGTCGTATCACATTGGTCTTCAATTGGAAGTTAGGCTGCCCAAACGGTGGATACACGATGCTGGATTGGCTTTGAATTAGTTGAGGAGTTATGAAATTTCCAACAAGCATGTTGCCTATGTCCATCGCCTCTTCTTCATTGGCTGGAATGATAGGATTATCCTGTTCGTTAGCCATTTCCAGTTGTGCTTCTTTAGCTTCTCTTTGCAGTCGATGGAAAGTTTTCTCAATTTCTAGATCAGCTAGAATCAATTCCTTCCTAGTCGATCTTAGAATGCAGACCTAAGATAAAACCAATAGTAGCATTTAGACTCTAAGATAAATGAATTGCTAAGAAAATAAAGCAAAATAAAAAAAATGTTTGAATTAGTGCCAAAGTAAATAAGTTTAAACTAATGCTTAATCCTCGACAACAGTGGCAAGAACTTGTTCACGAAATAATGATTTTGAATAGTATCTTCCAGTGTATGGTTCGTTAATAAGTAATAAAGTGGAAAATACAGTTTCGAATATCGCCCTACAGAGATTGAGTTAGTTCAATTTTAAGTACCAAGACCTTAACCGAAACAATAAAAATGAGAGTGTTTGTTATGATGAAATTATAACTAAAATAAACTATGTATGCAATTTTGAATGAATTAAATGAAATTAAATGTAAAATGATATTTGAATGCAATTTTGATGAAATTAATGAATGTGAGATGCACTAGGATCATGAATCCCCAAGCAATGCTCGCTTTTAACCCTAGTTTCACAATTTGACAACGTTGACCATCAATCTATATCTCTATGACGGGTGTAAATATACCAGAATGGATGTAGATTTGTGAGCATTTAAAGATTCACACAAAGCATAGAGATATATCTATATCCCCCTATCATACCCTACGATGATTTACACTCAGTCAAACTTATTCCCCTTCTCTTGAATACATGAAATAAGTCACTACACTTACACAATTACGTGCACATAATCAAGGAAGAAAATAATTGCATATAAACCATTCAAATTCAAATAATGTGTTATATTGTCAATAATGTAAAACTAGAAATAAAAAGATTACATCACATGATTCATCGTTGTCCTAGTATAAACAAATTTAGCCTAGTATGATGGGAAGAAGAAAACAAACTGAATAATAAAGAAAAGACATCACAAAATTAAATTTTGAATTGAATCATTGCATCTTGATGTTAATCTTCACATTCTTGTCTTGTTTTCTCCTATAAAAACTCTTATGGATGTGTTATAATGTGTCTTCCCATCTTTAGGGATGACCCTAAGACTTTAAAGCACCTCCCAATATTTGTTTCCGTAAGAATTTCAGTCAGAATAGGGAACCAAAATTTTTTCGCCACGATTGGCCTAGGGGACTAGTTTTCGCCTCAGTAACTGTTTCTTGATGTTGGGCAGTCACCTGCTCAAAACAACTGGACTATTGCCCAGTTATAAAAATTCCCAAATGTTGCATTTTGATCCCTGAATTCAATTTTTTATTCTTTTAGATCCTTTCTATTTTTTTCTTCTCCCAATACTTCAAGTCCTCACTAAATTTGTTATTAACTCTTTCACATCCTTGTTTATGCTTCCCGGTCATCTTTTAGCTATTTGCATTTTGATTCTTGAACTTTTGTTTTCTTTTGTTTTTGTTCTTTTTCGCATCTTTTCTTTGAGTTCCATCATATCCATTAATATAGCCTTTAATGCATGTCAATAATAAAAAAAGAAAATTTTAGCTGAGAGTTTTGATGAGTGTAATTCACTCATCAAACTAAAGCTTCTAAATCACGTTTTTTGATGCGTTCTTGGGCATTTTTGAACGTTTTGATGTGTGTATTTGTGTTGTTTTGTAGTTTGGACAACTCTCGAGAAAATACCACTATTGGGAGCCTGTGATGAGCAAAAATGATGATCAATAAAATGGAGCATGAATAAGCAAGTAATGAATAAGATTGGAGTGGAAATAGGCTTGGAAAACAAAAAGAAGAGAAGCAAAGCAGTGGCATTGGCGTCGAAAAAGAGATGAAATTCCAGCAGAACCTCTGGCACCATGGCGCCCAGGTCTGGCGCCATGGTGCCCAATGAAGAAAAGAAGGCAGCAGAAACTTGGGCACCACGGCGCCAGACTTGGGCGCCATGGCACCAGTTAACATGAGAATCGTGGCGCCACGCTTGGGCACTATGGCGCCAAATCCCAAAACGTTAGGCGCCATGGTGCCCAATGAAGAAAAGAAGGCAGCAGAAACTTGGGCACCACGGCGCCAGACTTGGGCGCCATGGCACCAGTTAACATGAGAATCGTGGCGCCACGCTTGGGCACTATGGCGCCAAATCCCAAAACGTTAATACCCGAATTTTTAATTATCATTTTGGTCAAAAAATCATACCCTAACCCTTGAGGACTCTTAGAAAATATAAATACCAAGATGAAGAACAAGAGAAAGGGGTTAGACGGCTGAAGAGGCAAGAAAAAGAGAGGCACTAATTGAGAGAAGATCGACCCGATTTTGGAGAAGAAGAAGGGAGAAAACTGAGAAATCAACAACAAGATTGAGAAATAGAGCAGCAACTTGAGTTTTTCTATCTTCTCTTATACATGCACTCTAGTTTGTATTTTATTATGTTTTTCTTCTCAATCATGAACTAAATTATTAAATCTAGGGTTTGATGTAATCTATTTGAGACATGATTTAATTTTTTTTTTATAGTATTTCCATTTAATTTTCCAGAATTGATTTGTATTGTTCTTGTTTAATGCTTTCAGTTGCCTGATCACCAATTAAATGAATTGATGTTCTAAATTTGACGCTCGAGAGAGGGAAATTTAGGCGTGATCTAAGGACAATATAACCTAAGTTTGTAGGTTTCGAGAGAAAGTACGAATCTTTGAGGGTAAAACAAGAACCAAGTGCGTGATAATCTTTATATATTTAATTCAAAATAGAGATATTGGGGTTAAAATATAGAAATATGTTCTATTTGACGCTCAAGAAGGGGAAATAGAATTAATTTAGGATTCTTGCCTATGAATTCGGGAAATAGTTGATGGAAATATCTATAGGGATTGAGACTTATGTCAAGAATATGATGAAATCATTCCCTAGACATTACGTAAGTTTGATTTAGTCTTTAGAAATTGCCTCACTTTTATTGCACTATTTAATTCATTGATGTTAGTTTAGTATTCAAACATTAATTTAACACTCGATTGTCTAGATAAAGTAAACGCGGACACAATTATAGTACTCAGTGGAAGTCGAATATCAATCCCTATGGGTTCGACACTTTTCAATTCTTTAATATACTACAAAACTTAACACTGTACGCTTGCGATATAAAATCACAGTGCATAAATCGCGTGGCAAGTTTTTGGCGCCGTTGCCGAGGATTGATTCATTCGAATTCAATTGATATTATTACCAATCGGCGTTCATTTTACTCTAGATTTTTATTTTTACCGTCATTTTTATTTTACTCTTTTTGTGTCTATCTTTAAAAGCTTCCTTGTGATTATTTTCAGCTGTTTATGCGAAGGGCGAGAAATCTAGATCTACTACTTGTTGATCCTGAACCAGAACACACATTTCGCATTCTCAGAGGCATACAAAGAAATGAACGGGAAGCAATGGCAGAACAGGATGCTAGAGCAGCCAATGAGGATAACCAACAAAGGGCTATTCAGGACTACTATTCCATCATCGCACGCCCAACAATTGCTGCAAACAATTTCGAATTGAAGCCAGGGTTGATACATATGGTGCAGCAAAATCAGTTTGGGGGTGCTGCAGTAGAAGACCCAAATGCTCATCTTGGATCCTTTTTGGAAATTTGTGACACGGTGAAGATGAATGGGTTACTGAAAATGCAATTAGACTCCGCCTGTTCTCATTCTCTTTAAGGGATAAAGCAAAGGCTTGGTTCCAATCACTACCGTATGGCTCAATTACAACTTGGGATGATTTGGCTAAAAAATTCCTCACCGAATACTTTCCACCTTCTAAATCAGCTCAACTTTGCGGTGAAATTAGCCAATTCAAACAACTCGACTTCGAGCCATTCTATGAAGCTTGGGAAAGATTTAAAGATTTGCTTAGGAGATGTCCTCAACATGGGTTCCAGAAATGGGTGCAAATTGAGATATTTTATAATGGGCTAAATGGGCAGACAAGGACTATGGTAGATGCAGCTGCGAGAGGCATTTTAATGGCTAAAACAGCAGAGGATGCATATGCTTTATTGGATGATATAGCCACCAACAGTTACCAATGGCTAAGTAAGAGATCAGGTGTAAAGAAAGTAGTAGGACTTCATGAAGTGGATCCCATCACCGTACTAGCAGCTCAGGTTGCATCACTCACAAATCAGATAGTGACGCTTACCACTCAAGGAAATCAACAGAAGGTAGATTTAGTCATGAGTACTTCTTCTTCACACCAAGAGACAGAGGTTGCAAACGAGCAGGCCCAATATGTCAACAGTAAAAACTACAATCAAAGAGGAAGCTACCAAGCTAATCACTATCATCCAGGGCTGAGGAATCACGAGAACTTGTCATATGGCAACAATAGAAACACACTTCAACCTCCACCCGAATTCAACACTCAGAATTCTGATGGGAAACCACCCTTGGAAGTCATCCTTGGGACGTTCATTTCTGAGAGAAGATCACGCTTCAACAAAGATGAATTACGGTTAGATAATATTGAAACACATGTGTCCAACATGGGAGCCACAATGAAGAATCTTGAAGTGCAAATTGGCCAATTGGCTACCTCAAGGAAGTCTCAGCAAGAAAGGAAAATTTCCCAGTGACACTGAGGTTAACCCATGGGAACACTGCAATGCGATCACCCTAAGGAGTGGTAACATGGTTGAAGAAAGCAAACCTAAGGAGATTATGGTGCCTATGTCGGATGTCATAGTTACAGAGGAAAAGCAGAGTGAAAGGCAGAAAACTGTGGCAGAGGGTACAAAGATCTATAAGCCTTACTCGATCTCATTTCCGGACAACCCACCAATCTTGAAGCCCCCACTACCATTCCCGCAGAGGTTCATGAAGAAGAAAATTTGATGACCAATTTGCAATATTCCTGGAAGTCTTCAAGAAAATCCACATCAACATTCCCTTTATAGAAGGTTGGGCCAAATGCCTAACTACGCCAAATTCTTGAAGAAAGTGATGTCAAATAAGAAGAAGCTGGAGGAGTTCGAGACAATTAAGCTGACAGAGGGTTGTAGTGACATACTTCAGAAGCTGCCTCACAAATTGAAAGATCCGGGCAGCTTCAACATCCTGTGTAATATTGGTGGTATCACATTTGATAGGGCATTGTGCGACCTTGGAGCTAGTATAAACCTGATGCCCCTATCAGTGTTCAAAAAGCTGGGTCTTAGAGAAGTGAAGCCCACAACCCTCACATTGCAACTGGCGGGCAGATCGATAACATATCCCAAAGGTATGATTGAAGATGTATTGGTGAAGGTCAATAAGTTCATCCTTCCCGTGGACTTTGTGGTGTTGGACATGGCGGAGAACGAGAAAATACCGTTGATTCTTGGTCGACCTTTCCTAGCTACTAGAAGGGCATTGATTGATGTCCAGGAAGGAAAATTGACACTGCGGGTTAATGAAGAGCATGTGACATTCAACATCCATCAAGTAGAAAAGCCTCAAGAAAAAGTTAACATTTGCAATATGGCCCAATCGGCTGAAGCAGTTTTAGGTCACAAAGAAAAAAAGGAAGTGTTCTATGACCCTTTAGAACAATATATGGCTCTCAACTACTTAGTAAAGGATGCATCTACTGATGGAAAATACTCGGAAGCCGAAGTAGTGGATTTCATATTCACCCAAGAAGCTGATCCACCTGACAAAAAAGAAGGCTATGTGGCTAGGCCTTTGAAACCTCGAAACATTGTCAAACTAAAAGAGGTTTTGAAGGCTACATCGAGGTTCAAACTGCCTGATTTTATTGGCCATGCTATGGTGAAGGAGAATGCAAAGCCGAGGGTAAAATTCAGAAACAAGAAAGATGCTCCACTCGAAGATCCACCGTAGACACCTTGGTTGAGTCAAGCTAGTGACTATAAAGAAGCGTTTCTTGGGAGGCAACCCAAGCTTTCATCTTTATTTATTTATTCTGTTTTTGAATTTTAGGATAATTTATTTTATTTCAGAGTTGTTATTTAGGAATTCATCAATCCTACCCGTCCCTTAGGTTTTCGAAAAATCAAGTTGGTTATCGATGTTTGAGCTAAGTACTACTTGTTCCATAAGTTTAATATCTACATTGTGATTTTTCAGGAACATGACGTCGCAAATCAATCAAAAAACATTGACAAGGAGAAGCTGGATAAATCTCAAGTTTGGGGGGAAAGCTAGAAAAAACGTCCATCAAATTCAACATTAGTGCACCAAATCATCGTTGGCAATTCAGGAAAGTCCTCCTCTTTTTCTTTTAATTTAACATTGGGGACAATGTTTAGTTTATGTTTAGGGGGAGTGTATTATAAATTGTCTAATTGCCAAAATTTTTGGTTTTGTCTGATTTGTGTGCAATTTTTTTTGATTTGTGTGTTTTTTTTAATTATTTGTTTTTATTATTATTATTATTTATTTATTTTATGTGTGCATTGTCAAATAAAAACAAAAAAAAATTTCATTTTGTGTTTTGCATGCTTGTGTGAGTTAGATAGCCTCACCGGCGATGATGTATAATATTAAGAACATGTATTGGTTCATGGATTATGGATAAGTTATATGTGTGAATTAGATTTTTACTTATTCGTGTGAAACGGAAATTATTTTTTCACGTGGGTTGATTGTAGCGTTGTACATGAGTAGGTTGATCCATGTTTACAGGTTGAATAAGAGAACTTAGATGCTAAACCCAAATAACCTTTAAACATTATGATACCCTTAAACCAAATATAAGCTGTTTGGTAGGTTAAGCTGTTGCAGGAAAACTTGGAGATAAATGTGAATTCCATGTGTGCTAAATTTTGTGTGGATTGTCTGAGACTAGTATGATGAAAATTGGGTGAAAACTTTAAGTTAGAGGTCAAATTTCGAGAATAGGTGTTTAATAAGGGGCATTGCACTAATCATTGCATAAAAAAAAGATCCCAATGAGGACAACTTTAATAATCTCATTGTGAATCGTTTTTTCGTAGCCTTTATGACTCAAGTGATTAAGCCTGTAAGGGTTTAAAAGCTGGTGCCCTAAAATCGTCTGATTTAGGAGTCATCGACCTAAAACTCGTTACAATGGTCATTTATAAAGCTTGAGGGAGTGACGTCCACACAAAAGGTGTTTAAAGAATACATATAATTAAAAATAATAATAATAATAAAATAAATAAATAAATTTATATATCACATACTTTGATTAAGCCCCGAACACTTGTTTTAGAGGATTAAACCTTTGAAGAGAGGTTAGTAACTTGGTTGATTCCTAGAGGTTGAAGCAGTCAAAAATAAGGAGAATCCTCATTTGTTGATAGGTTGAACTGCAATAGTGAAATCTAACCAAACTTGAGCGATGTAAGAAATTAGCATAAAAAAATCAACTTTAGAATACACCTTGAAAAGAGAAAAGAAAACAAGTTTGGGGGTGTGTGAATCCCACGAGCGAGGTAAGGAAATATTTGACTTTTAAGGTCAGAAATTGGGTCAATTTATTATTGTACAGCGTTATGCTTAACTCTCCACACACACACTCGTTTGCATTGAATGAGCGAGGATTTGACGCATGCATTATAGTTTTGAAGTACTTCATGAATTTGACGCTGTGTTTTTAATCTTGAGCTATAAATGAAAGGTGTCTAACATAAAGTTTCTTTTGAGTGACTTTGTCTGTTTTAATCGTGCTTGTATGTTCGTTAATGATTATCTTTAGTTTTCTGTTTGCTCGAGGACAGGCAAAGAACTAAGTTTGGGGGTGTTTGATGAGTGTAATTCACTCATTAAACTAAAGCTTCTAAATCACATTTTTTGATGCGTTCTTGGGCATTTTTGAACGTTTTGATGTGTGTGTGTTTGTGTTGTTTTGCAGTTTGGACAACTCTCGAGAAAATACCACTATTGGGAGCCTGTGATGAGCAAAAATGATGATCAATGAAATAGAGCATGAATAAGCAAGTAATGAATAAGATTGGAGTGGAAAATAGGCTTGGAAAACAAAAAAAAGAGAAGCAAAGCAGTGGCATTGGCGTCGAAAAAGAGATGAAATTCCAGCAGAACCTCTGGCACCATGGCGCCCAGGTCTGGCGCCATGGTGCCTAATGAAGAAAAGAAGGCACCAGAAACTTGGGCACCACGGCGCCAGACTTGGGCGCCATGGCACCAGTTAACATGAGAATCGTGGCGCCATGCTTGGGCACTATGGCGCCAAATCCCAAAACGTTAATACCTGAATTTTTAATTATCATTTCGGCCAAAAAATCATACCCTAACCCTTGAGGACTCTTAGAAAATATAAATACCAAGATGAAGAACAAGAGAAGGGGGTTAGACGGCTGAAGAGGCAAGAAAAAGAGAGGCACCAATTGAGAGAAGATCGACCCGATTTTGGAGAAGAAGAAGGGAGAAAACTGAGAAATCAACAACAAGATTGAGAAATAGAGCAGCAACTTGAGTTTTTCTATCTTCTCTTATACATGCACTCTAGTTTGTATTTTATTATGTTTTTCTTCTCAATCATGAACTAAATTATTAAATCTAGGGTTTGATGTAACCTATTTGAGACATGATTTAATTTTTTTTATAGTATTTCCATTAATTTTCTAGAATTGATTTGTATTGTTCTTGTTTAATGCTTTCAATTGGTTGATCACCAATTGAATAAATTGATGTTCTAAATTTGACGCTCGAGAGAGGAACATTTAGGCATGATCTAAGGACAATATAACCTAGGTTTGTAGGTTTCGAGAGAAAGTACGAATCTTTGAGGGTAAAACAAGAACCAAGTGCGTAATAATCTTTATATATTTAATTCGGAATAGAGATATTGGGGTTAAAATATAGAGATATGTTCTATTTGACGCTCGAGAGGGGAAAATAGAATTAATTTAGGATTCTTACCTATGAATTCGGGAAATAGTTGATGGAAATATCTATAGGGATTGAGACTTATGTCGAGAATACGGTGAAATCATTCCCTAGACATTACGTAAGTTTGATTTAGTTTTTAGAAATTGCATCACTTTTATTGCACTATTTAATTCATTGACGTTAGTTTAGTATTCAAACATTAATTTAACACTCGATTTTCTAGATAAAGTAAACGCGGACACAATTATAGTACTCAGTGGAAGTCGAATATCAATCCCTGTGGGTTCGACACTTTTCAATTCTTTAATATACTACAAAACTTGACACTGTACGCTTGCGGTATAAAATCACGTTGCATAAATCGCGTGGCAAGTTTGCAAAGAAACACATTACCTTCGAGTTCTTGGCAAGTAGAGAAGTTGACTCAATGACTTTGATATGCAAGGTATTCTAATGTGCTAATTTTGTAATGCCCGGGGAGATTGGGAGGAAAAGGTGTTGCTTGTTGAAGAGGATATGAGTGTCGCGTGTGTGGGTGAAGGGAGGAACTTTTAGGGATTATTTGCATGGGTGAGGGATTTAAACCCTCACCCAACTGGGCTGTGTGTACGCATGGCTTGGGCCATGTGTACGCACTTCCCAAACAGATTGGCCACCGGCCAATCTATTTCATCGTGCGTAAGCACGGCTTGCAAGTTGGTGCTTACGCATAGTGAAGGCATGAATTTTTATTTTTTTTGATAAATCATTAAACTAATTC